ACGGGACAAAGGCTTCACCTATCGGCTAACGCCATTGGCCAGAGGCATGCCTCCCTAGTTTAAGACTGGGTACACCGATATTGCTCTGACACTGAACGTAATGATCTAAATTGGAGAAAGTTGCAATAGAAGACACCTGCACCACAAAACACATGAATTTCAGTCAATCGGGCAACATGAACATACCCTCTATATACCTCAACGCAAAAGACGACGAGGCCAGGACGGGAAAGGAGCAGATGAGACTTGGCAAACTCATGTCGCGTATAGAACCAAACTCTCCTGCTACCCGTCGTCTGAGCGGCAGTAGGAACCCCCTCAACCTGTCCTCCCTTGGTTGATTCTACAGTTACGCCGACGCCACACCCCAACCTTCCATATACAGATAAGATATGAATATAGATAAATAAAAAAAAGTTAAAAACATGATTGACTTTCAGTATCGTCCTCGTTATGTCGAAGAACTAGCTGGAAAACAAAACACCAAGTCTAACTACCTGTAATCATACACAAGTCCAAATCACCTAGAGCCTTCAATCACCACAATAGGAACCCTCTTGCAATGGCGGGGCAAGTGCTTCATCTGTCGTCGATGCTCCGACACTCTATTGATAATGATCTAGAATGGAGAAAGTTGCAGTAGAAGGCAACCGCAACACTAAAACACGTGAACTCTCGTCAACCAGACCATATGAAACCATATCTACACATCAACAGAAAAGAAGATGTAGTTAGTATGAGGAGGGAGTCAGAGAGATTCATTCCCACGCAGTGACATATGCATCTCGGAAACACAATTGCTTTCAAACCAAACTCTAAACCTTTGGATCTAACTACATCTCATGTGTAGAACCAATCCTTTTTAATATCGTGGTTGATATGTTGACCATGCTTGTTAACAGAGCGAAACAAGATGGTCAGGTAGGTGGTCTTATCCCACATCTAGTTGATGGCGGGGTATCTATCCTACAATACGCAGACGACACAATTATTTTCATGGAGCATGACCTCGCGAAAGCAAGGAACATGAAGTTAGTTCTTTGCTTATTTGAACAACTATCCGGGCTCAAGATTAATTTTAATAAGAGCGAATTGTTCTGCTTTGGACGCGCCAAGGAGGAGCAAGAAAGATATAAACAGTTGTTCGGGTGTGAATTAGGTGTGCTTCCTTTTACGTATCTAGATATAAACAGTTGTTCCGGAGGAGCAAACTTACTAATAAAGAATGAAAATGTATTGAGGATCGGTTTGAGAAGAAATTGAGTTGTTGGAAAGGCAAACGTTTAACGTATGAAGGAAGGTTAATTCTTATTAATTCGGTGCTAACGAGCATGCCGATGTTCCTCCTCTCTTTCTTTGAAGTACGAGTAGGAGTATGGAAAAGATTAGACTTCTACCGATCCAGATTCTTTTGGCAAATTGATGAGAATAAGGCCAAGTATAGGCTCGCCAAGTGGGAGATGATTTGTAGACCAAAGGGCCAGGGCGGATTGGGTGTTGAGAATTTAGAAGTGAAAAATAGGTGCTTATTGAGCAAATGGTTATACCGCCTTTCAGTGGAGATTGAGGGTTTGTGGTTGCAGTTACTTCGAAACAAATACTTATACGCTAAGTTTTTGGCTCAGGTAACGGCACAGCCGTCGGACTCACCTTTTTGAAAAGGACTTATGAGGACGAAGATTGCTTTCTTTAACAGAGTGACATTTAAAGTGGGGAATGGGCAACGAACTCGATTCTGGGAGGATACCTGGTTAGGGGGCACTCCATTAGCGTTACAGTATCTAGTTTTATATCACATTGCACAACGGAAAGAAGTTTCTGTGGCGTATGTGTTGCAGTCCATTCCACTTAATATTCAATTTCATCGGGCACTTGTGGGTCCATGCTGGGATACATGGTTGCATCTTGTGCGTAGGTTAATGGAGATTAATCTTTCGGATGCCAATGACACGATAAGTTGGAACTTAACGAGGTCAGGTGTTTTCACGGTTAAATCAATGTATACGGATTTAATCAATACTGGAGACATCCCAAGGTCGGGCCATATCTGGAAAATTAAGGCGCCATTGAAAATAAAAGTGTTTTTGTGATTTGTTCACAAAGGTGTAATCTTAACCAAAGATAATCTAGCCAAACGCAATTGGGAAGGGAGTCAATGATGTTGCTTTTGTGACCAGAATGAAACAATTGAACATCTCCTTATTAAATGTCCGATTGCTAGATTACTTTGGAAAACTATTCATGTTGCTTTTAACATCACTCCGCCAACTTCAATATCACAATTTTTTCATGACTGACTGAATGGGGTGTCACCTCAGACAGCTGCACAAATCAGAGTCGGAGCATGTGCGTTGCTTTGGGCGATATGGAATTGTCGGAATGATGTTGCCTTTAACAGACGAAACATTACTAATTTTTTGCAGGTCATCTTCAGAGCGTCTACATGGATCCGTATGTGGTCCTTGCTGAGCCATACGGACCACAGGGCGCACATGGCTATTGGGTGCAACCGATGGAAAACGGTTGCACGGGATACATACAACCGATATGGATGGCGGTCCAGTAATAGGCTAGGTGTGTAGACATCTTGATCTATTATAGCCGGTTGTGGCTTTTTTTTATTTTTGGCCGCGTGTGGCATTTGTTTCTTCATGATCTTTTGAGACCACTTGAGGAGATTTTTGGACCTCTTTTCTTAATAAAATGGCTGTGTGCACCGAATGATGCAGAGGCCGGGGGTTAACCTCCTTTTCTAAAAAAATGTGTAGAACAAATCCTTCCTACCACCTGACACCTGAGCGGCAGTCCAAGGTGGGTGGACACACAAGAACATCGACGAAGAAGTTCATGCAAGAACTGATTAAAAATCTAGTACCACATGGCTCTCTTTTTTGG